AACTGGCATTACTATAAATCTTCTTCGTGGAAAAACTGATCCAATTGTGAACAAAGAAGATCCTCAAATTTTCAGTGTCTCTCACAAACGGCTATGCCCGCTATCTGTATCAAATCACGAGACTTCTGTTTCGTACCTGAAGTTCCTGGGTTCCGTTATCCTAATCTGCTCCGTACATCTTCCAAGATCTTCTACTAGAATGAAACTACCACACCATAGCCTTTTGAAATGAATTGCCTCCTACCTTTGGACACCTTCACTTGACTAATCCCAAAAATGTTGTATGTTGAGGCTGCAGTGTTGGTTATGATTATCAGCAGTAGAAAATGCTTTAGCATTTATGCTGTTTATGGATATCACAATTTTACATACCCGAAATATATATCTGTGTATGTGTGTGTGTGTAATTCAGTTTCGATGTGTATGTGAACAAACATGTCTGTATGCACATACATATCTGTGTAGATGTGAACATGCATATGTGACTAAGTCTCTGTGTGTGTACAGGTCTGTATGCCTATGTGTTAGGTCTGTATGCCTATGTGTTAGGTCTATGTGCCTGCATGCATGCAGATTTTTGTGCCTGTCTGTGTCAGCCTGTTTTTAAATGTGTGCCTCTGTATATGTGTGTTTTTGTGTGTATGTGCACAAGTGGATGCAGGCAGGTGGTGCAGATGGAAACTCATACATTAGTATAGGAGAACAGGTGAATGTACAGTACAGCCTTTGCATGGTCCATAACTGATATGCAAAAAAAAAAATCACACAAAACCTTATAAGGCATTTTGATGCTACTGAACAAGATCTTAACTGAAGCCATACAGTACTAGAAAGTAAGTTGATTCTGCAACCTCCATTAACTAATTTGACATTTATATGATATCAAAGGAAAAATCTAAAAATGATATAATTAAATGAATGAAAATGATTTATAGATAATGAATATAACAAAAAGGAGATGACCATAAAAAAAAACACTTATTTGTCCTCTTCGATCTCAAAGAAGACCGAGCAAGCAGCTTTCAGTCACCTCAGTGTCCTAGACAAGACCTTTTACATGAAGTTCAGTTGCCCTGTAAACCTAAACACTAACTCCACTCCACAAATCTAAGGATGGTATGCATGATTACATAGCTCCTCTCCTACTTGAGACTCCCTTTTAAACATCTGTGTTCCATAGGAGAGTGCTGTGGGGAGGGAGAGGGGGAGGGGGAGGGGAGGGGTGGGGTGGAGAGGAGAGGAGAGGAGAGGAGAGGAGAGGAGAGGAGAGGAGAGGAGAGGAGAGGAGAGGAGAGGAGAGGAGAGGAGAGGAGAGGAGAGGAGAGGAGAGGAGAGGAGAGGAGAGGAGAGGAGAGGAGAGGAGAGGAGAGGAGAGGAGAGGGGGAGGGAAGGTGGGTGGGGAAAGGGAAGGAAGGAACGAGGGTGGGGAGAGGGAGGGAGGGAATGAGGAAGTGAGAGAGGGTGGGGAGAGGGAGGGAGGGAGGGAGGGAGGAGGGAGGAGGGAGGAGGGAGAAGAGAGAAAGAGAGAGAGAGAGAGAGAGAGAGAGAGAGAGAGAGAGAGAGAGAGAGAGAGAGAGAGAGAGAGAGAGAGAGAGAGAGAGAGAGAGAGAAAATACCAGATAAATAGATTTTCAGTGCACAGATTATCAGCATCACATTATGCATGCCTTTTATAAAAAACAACTGGATACTAAAGAGAGAAGAAGAGAGAAGAAAAGAGAAATATGCCAAGCACCATTAACTGGATCACTGACATACCTAAGAAAAACAATAAATTCAGCAAATACTAAACACATGTCTTTTAGATCTTATTACCTATGTAAAAATATACTAGTGTGTGAGTAAATGGAACATTAATCTTTAGTCAGCTGGTATTTAATGTACTGAAGTCAGGTCAGTGCAAATATGTAAGATACATAGTCCATTCTCCTAACATACCACTTCAACATCCAGCAACTTGGGTCTAAGATGAAAACAGGCACAAGTCTCTCCAAAGGAAGCAAAAGTATTCCAAAAATTTCCTCCTACATACTGACAAATACAGTACAAATATTTGTGTGTGTACAGCTATGAATATAGTTTTGTGTGAGACTAACTCTCTAGGTGAATTCAGGCACTGAAGGAACTGCCAACAGAGAGGGAACTTGGAAAATAGTTCTGCAGTGGGTAGGAATGAGGCAGTACATTGGTAATAGGAAAAGATGATGGCCTTTTGTGGTGGCTTGCTTGTTACTTATAATAACTCCTAGCAATGTTTCTTGTTGGTGAAGTGGCTAATGATGTGTAGACATATATTCCAATATCTCCAAAACAAATTACATTGGCAAATTCTACTCTTTATAAGGTAACAAAAACAAAAACGAAATTGTAGTGGATCCGAACAATAATGAAATATGTTCAGTAAAACTATCATACGCTGGACTTGTCATTTCCCCGAATTAGTATTTACTACATGGACTATGATGATGAATCTTAAAAGCTTTACTCAAACAGACAAGAT